ATTTCAAAAGTGGTATTATATTAAAAATTTGTTAGTTCTGAAATGTGCTATCTATGCCAAGTTTTTCAAAGCTTTCATATTTAACTCCTTTTAACAACTTCATAATCTTAAAGAAAAAAGTTAAACTGAGTGCTAAAAACCTTAATTTTGTCTGTTTACTTTGTCTCAGTTATTTTGAAACAGTAATCCCTAAGCACTTACCCATGAAACTGATATATTAGTGAAATCTTCCGTAGTTTGTGTGTTTAAGATTCACAGATTCCTATCTTTTAATTCAATTCTGACTCCTTGAAATCTGTGGTTGAATATTTTCACATGTAGGAAGAAGACTGGATGGTGGTGAGGGAGAACAACAGGTAGACAAGTTAATCACCTAATTTCATGACCCCCCATCATCATTACTGCTTATAGAACAAATAAGGATATTTATGTTACTGGCTCTGACTTTAAGGAAGCAATTCGGCTAAGGATTCTTTTAAAAATGAGAAAGAAAATGACAAAAATTTCAAGTTATTTTAGGTATTGAAAACTTTAGATGGTACATACTATGTATTAACTTTATATTACTATTTTGGCCTCATTTTCCTTAGAAAACTCAGACTGTCCTTTTGGAAAGAATAAATAGAGATTTATGACTCTGCTTTTTTTTTTTTTTAATGTAAAAATTCAAATCATGTATCCACAAAGCAGTAACTGCTGTGGGAATTGTTATCCTGCTGTCAGCAGCTAGAATACCAGATAAAAACACATGAAAATACTGTTTTTAACACTGGACAATAGGCAAGACAGGACTTTGATCTGAGGAAAGAGAAGCAAATGAAATTAACCTTACATTGCTTCAGCTCACAGCCTGAGGCTTTGGTTAAATTCTGAGCCACAAAGCCAGGCACAACTTCCCAGGAGACAGCAATTACCAGAAGCTGTAAAGGAGAAGGAAGCAGCACCCCACTCCAGTGTTCTTGCCTAGAGAATCCTGTGGACAGAGGAACCTGGTGGGCTGCCATCTATGGGGTCGCAGAGTCGGACACGACTGAAGCGACTTAGCAGCAGCAGCAGCAGAAGCTGTAAAATGACTAACTCTTAGTGCTCACTCAGGGCCAGAAATCATTTGACTTCTCTCCAGCTAGAGAGGAGGAGCATCCCTGACTGCATGAACATTCAGTAGAGACTCCCAAAAGAAGCATAACTTGGAAGAGGGGCCAGATTTGCTCTAGAATAAAGGATTCTCTAGATTTGTCTTAAAAGACTCGAGAGGATCAAGCTAATATGCAGTAACTATACAACAAAATCCAGCATTCAGCAATGTAAAAGTCACAATGTCTAATCTCCAGTCAAAAATTACTAGGCATATGAAGAAGTTGTGGGTGGGGGCAGGAATTAGTCAACAGAACCAGACCTAGGAATGATGGAATTAACAGATAAAGATTTTAAAACAGTTATTATAAATATGATTCTTATATTCATGGAAAGAAAAGAAAAAACATAAGCATAATACAAAGAAAAATATAACAATAAACAAATGGAACTTCTAGAGATGAAAATATGTATGAAATGAAAACCAGTATGGATGGAATTAATAGCCAATTAAATACTACAGAGGAAAAGATCAGTGACATTGAAGTACATAGCAATTAAAACTATCCAGAATGAATCTGAGAAAACTGAAATACATGAAAAGAGCTTCAGCGCCCTGTGCGACAGTACCACATGGTATAATACGAGTGTAATTGGAATCCAGGAGAGGTGTGGGAGACATGAAAAATATTTGAATAATGGCCAAGTTTTTATAAATTTGATGATAATGATGAGTCCACAGACCTAAGAAATTTAACAATTCCCAAACAGCACAATCATAAAGAAAACCATAGAAAAGAACGTTATAATCAGGTTGCTGAAAACCAATGATAAAGAGAAAATATTAAAAGCAGCAAAAGGGAAAAAGACACACTACATACAAAGGAACAAAGATAAGAATGTACACAAATGTATAACATACTGTACAAACCGGAAGTTCTCTAGAGTACTGGGAGGAAAAAAAACTAGATTTTTAAACAGCAAAATTGTCTTTCAAAAATGAAGAAGAAATAAAGACTTTTTCAGACTTAACCAAAACTGAGAGAATTTATTGCCAACATATCTGCCCAACAAGAAATGTTTAAGGAATCTCATGAGACAAAAGGAAAATGATACCAAATGGAAATGTGGATTATACCAAAAAAAAAAAGAGGAACACCAGAGGGTAAATATGTACATAAATATCAAAGACACTTTGCTCATTTTGAAATTTTTAAAATATAATTAGTTGTCAAAGTAAAAATAGTTTGTGGTTTATAGCATATAGAAATAAAATGTAGAACACTAGCACAATACAGGGGAATGGAAGCATATTGTTGTAAGGTTCTTACACTCCATCTAAAGTGGTATACTACTACCTGAAGGTTAACTGTGATAATTAAAGATGTATACTGCAAACCCGTGAGGTGGGTTCTGCAAACCCAATAGGCCAAGTCCAGTGCATTCCTTAATTTTGTAAATAAAGTTTGTTGAAACACAGCCATGCATATTTGTTTACATAGTGCCTAGGGCTGCTTTTGTACCACAATGCAGAGTCTTACGTTGCAACAGAGATTTTATGACCGCCCAAAACCTAAAGTATTTAATATCTACCCTTTATAGAAAAGCATTGCCATTACTTGCTGTAGAATAACCCAAAACCATGAAGAGGTACAGTTAATAAGCCAGTTTATTGTTGGTATTGTTGTTTAGTTGCTAAGTTATGTCCAACTCTTTTGAAATCCCATGGACTATAACCCACCAGGCTCCTCTGTCCAAGGGATTTCCCAAGCAAGAATACTGGAGTAGGTTGCCATTTCCTTTTCCACGGTATCTTCCTGACCCAGGGATCTAACCTGCGTGTCCTGCATTGGCAGGCAGATTATTTACCACTGAGACACCAGGGAAGCACATAGTAGAGATTAAATGTAATCATAAGAATACTCAATTAATCTAAAAGAGGGCACGAATAGATGGAAAGTAGAAGAAAGAATTGAGTCAAGAAAAGTAGCAAGATGGCAGACTTATACATAACCATATTTATAATTTATTAAATGCAAATGATATACATACTTTAAAAGATAGGGATTGTCAGATTGGGTAAAATAGCAAGACTCAACCATATGTTGTCTGCAAGAAACCCACTTAAAATATAAAGACATGGGTAGGTTAAAAGTAAAAGGATGAGAAAAGGTATACCACAAAAACATATGTCTACTCAGAGACTTGTAAGTAAATAATCATATAAAGCTTATTCATAGTAGTCAAAACCTGGAAACAATCCACGTGTCAGTCATGGTAAATGGATGAACAAAATTATAGCGTATCCATGTATAGTTAAATGCTACTCAGCAATAAAAACAAATAAATTATTAATGCATGTAACAACATGGATGAATCTCAAAATCATCCAGGTACAAAAGAGTATATGCTATATTATATTATTCCAGCAGTATAAAAGTCTAAAAAAACTGAACATAATCTATGGTGACAAAAGTCCAGTCAGTAGTTGCCCAGGGGTTAACTGGAGTGAGGATCAAGAGAATTTGGGGGGCTGATGGAAATGTTCTTTATCCTGTTACATCAGAATTCATCAGATATTCATTTCAAATAAGAATGTATTTTGTTATTGATAAACTGTGTTTCAATAAGTGTTATTTAAGTCATGAACAATGTAGTGTGAGTCTTCTGTATTCATTATAGGCGTTATCATTTATTAGACCAGGCAAGGAAAAAATATGTAAATGACTCCAATTATGAAAGTTTAATGCATTTAGAATCTCCAAAACATTGTTCTATGTAGATTTCTTCTCAGCTCTTCAGTTTTAAGGAGTATGAATCCTTACAAACTTTATAGAATGTATCCTTTAATTCTTTTTTCAAAAAAAGCTAATAAACATCACTCATCTAAAAGCAGTATGTTATAAATGGTTTATTTATTCCTCACAACTACTGTATCAGTTAGGGATTAAGTCCATTTGATATATGAAAAAGTGAGGCTCACAAAGTTAAAGTCAGGATTCCATGCCAGATTTGACTCCATACCCTGTTTTCCTTTTACAGGCTAATGCTAAATTACTGTCTTTAAATGCTTGGTTGCTTGTGTAAAAAATTCTAGCTCAAAATTTATTTGAAAATTCATTTGAAAATGATTTGAAAGAGTTATTCTGACACTTGTTTTAGAGACTAAGGTTCTATAAGTTAAGAATTAAGGAATAAGATAAGAAAATAAGGAATTCTGTGCCAAACTGTTGTAGAAAATCCTGTCAGTTGTGTAGCTTATGATAATGTTTCCCTTAATAACTTTTTGTTAATAAGTCCCAAAATGTTGAGCTTTGACTTCTTGCTAACCTCAGGAAAATGTTCAAGAGTACTTAAAAGAAATTGTTTTTATTGTATCCTAGTATGTCCACATTGTATAAGAGAATGCTTACTTATCAAGCACCTTGGATATAATATTGTATGTACAATCAATAAGAGTTGCTGTCCTTGAGTAAGTCTTACTTATTAGTATACGTTCACATGTTATTCCCCACGAATCCTTGAAAGCTCTGGCTCCCAAGAGCCTTCTCCTACAGGATATAGAATCTGGCCCAGCAATCTCTGACTACTTAATAAAATTTTAGTAAATGGAATCAGGGTTTATATTCACCAATACCAAGAACTTTACCTCAGATTTCTGGGAAAGCCTCTTCTTGACCCACTTAAAAGATAATCCTCTGCATATTTTATTTTTTCTGAAAAGTGATTTGTGTGATAGATACAATCTTCCATAAGCCAATTCCCAGAATAATCTTCAGTTAAAGCTAAAGGACATATTCTTGAACCTTTGGAAACATTTTAAACAACACTAATAATAATAAACCCCCATTTAAGAAGATTAATAATATCACTTTAACTTATAATGAAATCTGATTATCATATGATTATGGGTCTTTTTCATTCAGATGTGACAGTGGTGTATCAAAATGGGTTACCTGTGATATCTGTGAGGCTACCATCCCGGCGTGAACGCTGTCAGTTCACACTCAAACCTATCTCAGACTCTGTTGGTGTGTTTTTACGACAACTACAAGAAGAGGATCGGGGAATTGACAGAGTTGCAATCTATTCACCAGGTATAGTCACCTTCATTATTCATTTCCACCCACCCCTTGTTCCCCCTCTAAACTGCTTCTACACACACACACACACACACACAGGCGCTGCAAATGATCCCATGCTTTTAACTTTGGGACATAATTTTTTGCTTAGCAAATGTCAGGAGAGACAGTGATTTCTCTCCCAGTTTTTAGAATATGATTGTTCAGTTTTAGCAAGGGTATATATTAATACACAGGGATCTCATTCAAAAGCACCTCACATATAATGCCATGGGCAAAGATGAGCCATCAATCACATTTTATACTTTTGAGACCTTTTGTCATTACCTTAGGCATAGAATAAACTTATCCAATAGTTGAGCCATCATCTCTGAAGATATGAAATATTAGGACTTCTTTTTAGATCTTTTCATGTCTTTCACATAAACGTTTATAAAATAAAGACGTGATTTGAAAGTAGTAGAAAATAAGGCACTAACATTCCCACTTGGCATGACATCCATTTCATTTATTTACTTTTTAAGTGCCTTACATTTTTACCACTTTCACTTTGAAAAATTCTAAATGTACAGAAAACATAAAAGCCTAGTACAGTAAGTCCCTGTAGCTTAAATATGCTTAATTCTCAACTCATAATTAATAGATGAACTTGGTGTACTTTGCTCACCCTAGCATCTGCCCCTACTGAATTATTGGCAACTAATCAGTAACTATACTGCAAAGTTCCATATACTAGAAGATGTTGCTTTTTTAACAATCAATTTCCATCATAGACAAATAGACATCCATGCAGGTCTCCCAGTGACCCTAGGTTTCCAGATGACACCTATGCATCTATGTAATTATTTCATTTGTTCATGAAGTTCTGCCAGAAAAGTACATTGTTAAATCTTAACAGACTTGAGGCCATGAAAACAAAAAGCCTCAGATAATATAAGCTTTATTTCACATGGAGTTTGGGGATAAGGCAAAAAGCTAACTGAAATTTAAAAGACATAATTTTAAAATCTATTCTGAGGATTGCTTTCTTTCCTGACCACTCTTGAATAATTATGGACATATGACAAATTAAAATTTTCACATTTAAATTTTTCACAGATGGCGTTCGAGTTGCTGCCTCAACAGGAATAGACCTCCTCCTCCTTGACGACTTTAAGCTGGTCATTAATGACTTAACCTATCATGTACGACCACCAAAGAGAGGTAAAAAGTAACCTTGATAAGGTCAGAGAGACATGAGAAGGGCTTTTGGAAGGAACTTTGTATTCCCCTGGATAAACTTGAGACACAGACAGTATTCAAAGAATACTCAAAGTTTTACATATAGGTAGCACTTGGCTAGTATACTGACTAAAACATAGAAACCAGAAGTGTTCTACATAAGTTAAACTCCTTCCCTCCATTCAAGCTAAAATTTAATATTATTTTAATGTTGTTCGGGGAACCTTTTGTAAACAAATATGGAACTCCCTGTCCTCTTAAATGTATGTAACAGGAATTAACCCCCCTTTTTTTCGATGGCTAGGGGTTAGCAGTCTGAAAGTCAATTATTGTACAATAATAGTTCTTGGGAACTTCTGACATGTATATGCTTTTGTGTGAAAAAGTTAGGATATTTGCCTTAGGTGCAGATTCTAAGAACACGCCAGGAAACTCAGTAATCAAATATTTTCAAGAACTATTGTTAAAAACCAAAGTTAATGCAAAAAATTCATGATAAAACATCAAAAATTTGAATAAAGACAATCAGTATTACTGATTTTTATTTTCACCCTACTCTCCAATGTGACTCTGCACAGTACTGATGGTATTAAATAACCCTCTGAAATAGCATTTTGAAGTATGACTTTTTGGTCATTTTTCTCTCTTTGCCTTGATAGTCAGTCACTTGCTGCTGTTGTTAATTCCCCTCCTACTACCACTGCTGCATCCATCAGCTTCCTAAAACATTTGTTTTTTTCAATTCTGCTTTCTTGTTTTGTTTTGTTTTGTTTTTTTGCTGCACAGAATTCTAGTTCCCTGATGAGGAATCAAACCTGTGCCCCCTACAGAGGAATCACAGATTCCTAACTACTGGTCCGCTAGGGAAGTCCCCTCCATTCTTCTTTTGTGAATTGTCCGTAATGTAGAAAAAGTAAAAGCCTAAATATTGAACGCCTTCCTCAAAATCTGGTCTGCCTCTACCTTTAAATTTTTTCTCTTTTCCTTTTAAGTGATGCTACTTTTCCTCCACTGTGTGTTCCTTTCTTCTTTCCTGAACTGTGTCCTCATTCTTTGCCATGTTAGTGTTTGCTCACCTTTCCTCTGAGAGGCCTTTTTCCTTTTTTCCTGTTTCTTCATGTCACAGTCATCAATGTCAGCTCTTCCATGAAGCCTTTCATGATCCTGTTCTTTCTCTGACTCACAGCCAACCAGAAGTGATCGCTGTCTTCTCTGAATCCTTCTTAATCCTTTTTCTTTTCAAGTGCTCAGAGGGAAGGTCCTATGATTTTTGCATACCTGTTGACTTAGGTAATCATTCTATATTGAGTGAATTAAGTGAGTTAAAGTATCCTTTAAATAGTAAGACATTACTAAGTCAGATTTTATTAAGTTGGAATAACCAAACATGTAAACCAAGAATTGTTAGCTATATATGTTAGCTATGCTAATATGTTTTTCTTCTTTATTCTGATTCTTGAACTAGAAAAGTTCTCTAAAAAAGCAGAAGTACAGGCCTTATTTTACTTAGTTTTTTGTTGTTGTTGTTTTTTAAATTTACTCATTTTTTCCCCAGGTTTATTGATATATAACTGACACTAATATTATGTACATTTAAGATATACAGTGTGATAATTTGATACACTTAGGTATTGAGAAGTGATTATCACAGTAAGATTAGTTAATACCTACATCATTTCACACAGTTACCATTTCTTTTTGATGAGAATACTTGAGGTCTACTTTCTTAGCCACTTTTAAGTATACATTACAGTTTTAATTATAGTCATCATGCTGTACATTAGATCCCCAGAACTTATTCATCTTATAATTATAAAATTAATACCCTTTTACCAACATGGAACGACCACATGATTCAGCAATCCCATTTTGGGGTATATATCCAAAGGAAATAGAATCTCACTAAAATATTAAAAGTTGACTAATGTAGTCTTATGTAAGGTATAACAATCAGGAAAGTAATGATACAAGCTTCCATCTATTATGTTTTCAAAAACTAGAGGTATTTTAATCAATGAATATTTCCAACCATCTTGTCTAATACTGTGTTTTTTAAATAGAAATGAATGTGTTTTAGTTTTTTTTAATAAGACTATTCTCAAGTTTAATAAGGAAAATAAAGGTAAAAACCAAAAAGGGGAGAAATTATATTTGATTCTTTGATAATCAACTTGGTAGCCATATATAACTCTTTGACTTACCTATACCTCAGAACTGTAGAATATCTGTCCACCTTCGCTAGAAGACAGATGTGAAGTTTGCAAGGGTCAGGAGTCTCTAGTTCATGGGATGGTTGTAAAGTGAGATGTGAAATTTGGTAAGCTCATTAGCAGCATTATTATAGAACTTAAAAAGATAATTTTAATATTTAAATCTAGACATTCTCTCAGCTCTGCTTTATTAGCCAATGAGAGATTCAGTCATTGTATACCATTTTTCACAGAAGCTTAAATAATACTCCTTTAAGTTTATAAACACTTTTCCGCTTAACTTTTAAAACATAGTAAAACTAAGTATTTTTTTCTTTTAAAAAAATGTAAGTTTTAGGGCTTCCCATGTGGCTCAGTGGTAAAGAATCTGCCTGCCAATGCAGGAGACGCAAGTTTGATCCCTGGGTCAGAAAAATACCCTGGAGGAGGGCATGGCAACCCACTGCAGTATTTGTGCCTGGAGAATCCCATGGACAAAGGAACCTGGTGTGTTACAGTCCATAGGGTCACGAAGAGTCAGACATGAGTGACTCAGCACACACACACAAGGTAGTGTTTCCAGTATATTATCTTCCTCTCCCTCTCTGAGGAAGGTAATGTGGGCCTTCAAGTTACCATTCTTTTCCAGTTACATTCAGTAAGAAAGCAGTTGAATTTCTGTATTGACAGAGAGGCTGCTTATCCAGAAGAGTAAGCCTACTGGTCTCAACATTGTAACTGTTTTTAGTGAAAGCGCAGTTGGTAAAGAATCCACCTGCAATGCAAGAGACCCCGGTTCAATTCCTAGCTTAGGAAGATCTGCTGGAGAAGGGATAGGCTACCTGCTCTGGTATTTTTGGGCTTCCCTTGTGACTCAGCTGGTAAAGAATCCGCCTGCAATGTGGGAGACCTGGGTTCAATCCCTAGGTTGGGAAGATCCCCTAGAGAAGAGAAAGGCTACCCACTCCAGTATTCTGACCTGGAGAATTCCATGGACTGTATAGTCCATGGGGTCGAAGAGTCGGACACGACTGAGCGACTTTCACTCACAAATGGAGAAAATAAATTGAAAGCACTAGGTTTGGGGTGTTAGATAATGAGAACACTAGGATTTTGTATATACGTCAAGCAGATGGAACAGATATAATTTATCTAATAAAAGTTAAAATAGTTAATGAAGGAAAACTTGCCCAGAATAGTTTTTTTTTCAGATTTCTTTTTTTAATTAATTAATTTTTTAATTGAAGGATAATTACTTTACAGAATTTGTTGTTTTCTGTCAAACATCAGCGTGAATCAGCCATAGGTGTACATATGTCCCCTTCCTCTTGAACCCCCCTCCCATCTCCCTCCCCATCCCACCCCTCTAGGTTGATACAGAAAAATATGAAATGCTTCATGAATTTGCATACCATCCTTGCGCAGGGGCCATGCTAATCTTCTCTGTATCATTCCAGTTTTACCATATATGTGCTACCAAAGTGAGCACCAGAATAGTTTTTAAAGTCTTGACACACAGTTTTTTCTACTCATTCCTTACCCTCCTTTAATTTTCGCTTTTCTCTCCTGTTTTTCTTTTCCCTGTGTTCGGGTAGCACTTTAGAACTAAAAATGCTCTATGAATGTTGTACACCAGTAAACTTTAACTTCACACACTTCACCAGGCACTGAGGATAGAGAACTTATTCATGTAGGATCTAATATAGTTATTAGATCCTAATATAGTTATTAGATCACAGGTACTACGTAGTACATAGATACCTAAGCACTAACAGCTCTTGTACCTAACACCACAATTGGAGGGAAGAGACAGGAAAAAGCTGAATGAAACAAAGGGGCAAGTCATAGTAGCAAGACTAGTTGCAAGTTCCATTGCATTCTTGGTTACCATAGCTATATATGGCTGGATTCCCCCTCTGACCTCTCCTGGATGAGAGAAGTAGTTATTTTAGCAATTAGATGGTTTTAAACTTCATCTTGGGGCTTCTCTAGAAGCTCAGACAGTAAAGCATCCACCTGCAACGCAGGAGACCTTGGTTCAATCCCTGGGTTGAGAAGATCCCTTGGAAAAGGAAATGGCAACCCACTCTAGTATTCCTGCCTGGAGAGTTCCATGGAGTTAGGAACCTGGTGGGCTACAGTCCATGGGGGTTGCAAAGAGTCTGAAAGTTTTTATAATAAGAAGAATCATTTTGATTGGCACCACTGAGCCCTTTGTCTCATTTATCCATCCAGAGGATACTGGAGACCTTGCTTCTGTCCTAATAATGTGAATAATTGAGAGAAACAGTTGAACAGGCCAACCAAATACCACTGACTCAAATAGCCAGTCTTTTCCAAACCATTATACTAGCTGAAAAGACTGTTTAACCCCTATTATTTTTGCACATCTCTCTATCTTTGTGTACCTTAATTATCCTGGCATTGATGGCATGTGCAGAAACATTAAAAAACATCTTAACTTCATTTTTAGTGAGGCATACTCAAGTCATCCAGAAGTGTTTCTGTTAAGCCATTAGCAGATTTATCTTCTCTCTTCCTATAATTTCATCTCCAAATATGTGGGCAGATTTTTCAGGGTTGAGGGGTTTGAAGTTGTTTTCCTCTGCCGTGACAACACCATGGAAGCATATTCTCCCTGTCAGGAAAATCTTAACAAAATAAAGCTAAGTCTGCTGAGTTTGCCAGGGCTTTTCTGATACCTGGTCAGAAAGATAACAGCTCTTTGTTCAGCCAGGTCTAAAACTGGAAATCTGTAAGATTGATCTCCTATGAATTATCATTTTATAATCT